GGTAAGAAGCAAACTAGCCAGGGAATATACTTCCCAGCATCCCTTGCACCTAAGTGGAGCCATGTGGCTAGTTCTTGCTGACAAATGTGAGCAGAAGTGGTGTGTGTCCCTTATAGGTCAAGGTGGTTGGGAGGCAGTCTGTCTCCACATACTTTTTATTTTGTCAGCTTAATGTAGAAAAACATGGTAAGGGGCTGATGTTGTGAGATAGCAGGTAAAGCTGTTGCCTATGATGCCAGCATCCCATATGGACACCAGTTTGGCTGTTCCACTTCTGATCCAGCTCCCTTATAATGGCCTGGGAAAAGCAGCCAAGAATGGCCCAACTACTCGGGTCCTTACCACTCACATGGGAGACCCGGATGAGGATTAAGGTTCTGGTTCCTAGCTTTGGCCTGACTCAGCCCCAACCATTACAGCCATCTGAGGAGTGAACCAGCAGATGGAAGATCTCTCCTTCTCCCTGTGTAACTCTTTCAAATAAATAAATAAATCTTTTCCCTGGAAAGAAGAAAAACACAAAATTAAATTGAAAGATAATGGCACTACAAGATGGAAAGAGCCAGGCTCCTGAATTACCACTCACTGCAGTTGTAATCAGGCACATATATTTTGGACTTCACATGGGGGGGTGGGTAAGAGCTTTTATTGTATTTGAGCCATTCTGCATGAGTTTTTTGTTATAGAAGCTAGGATTACCTCAACTTATACATGTGGTGATCTCACTCCCTTTGGCCAGTGATTAACTTAGGGATAGGTCTAAGATCTAATAAGAAGAAATGAGAAGTCTCCTGGGAGTGAGTTTCTTCCCTGGCAAAAGGAGGGAGCAGCACAAAGAGCAGTCTGCCACTGACTTCATCATGCCTTTGACCATGATGGTGTGAGCCCATAGTGGTGTGAACATAAAATGCTGGTGCTGCTGCAACCTTCTTCAGAGCCCACACACAGAAAGAAATGCTTCCCGAGTCCTGATGTCACTGGGTGGGCCTTTGGAGCTTGTTATTTATTATGTATGACAGACACCTTTAATATTGAAATCACTTTCTGGTGTGTTTAGCAGAATTATCCGGACTATACTTAACACTCAATTTTTTAAGATTAATCATTCAACCAACATTTATCATGTCTACCCTGTGACAGGTGCCATTCCAGGTGCTGGGGATTTAAAGGCAAAAATAAAAAGCAAGGTCCCTTCCTTGTGACAGAATGTGAGTCTGGCAGAAAGACATGTAGATAAGAGGCTATGAATGTTAATTCACGGATTTCCTCAGCAGCAACTGTGTTTATTCACTCACAAATGTTTACTGGGTATGTGTATTGGGTGAATAGATATATGGCAGTCCTGCTGTTACACAAGACTTATGGCGAGGGAAAGAAATAGACATTAATCAAAGAATCCCACAAATGTCTCACCAAGCTCTAACATGAAAATGTGTAAGAGGTCTGACATTCACACTCATCACACCTGTAAATAGTAACTTCTTAAATCATGTATCTACTGTCTCTCTTCCTGCTAGACTATAGCTCCAGGAGGGTGGGGACAATATTTAGTCTTGCTTCTTGTTCCATCCCCATGCCTAACAAAACATTTGGCAGAGTAGGTGTTCATTCATAGTTGTTTAGTAAATGAAGTTTTCTATGAAATGGGTTGCCTCCTAGATGAGGAAAAAAAGATGTCATGTAACTGTGCTCCCAGATGGAAAGTTACATATACTCTGCTGGGGTGAGCCATACGAAGATGGATTAAATGCCCTCAGAAGAGTCTCAAGGATTTGCAAAGTCAGCAACACTTCTGGTGAGGGAAGCTGCTGATTGGAGAGGTTTATGGGGAGACTTGCAATGTAGGTAGGAGCTGGGTAGACCACAAGAACCTCCAGGGGCTGGGTCAGCTTGATCTCCCCAAACAGGAGTTTTGAGCTGGAGTCAGCCAGGGCAACTTCGGTTGAGATCCCAGCTCTGAACTTCCTGGCTGTGTGTGACCCTGGATAAGCTACTTAGCCTGACTCTTCACCTCACCTTGAAGTGAGTCTTAAACAACTATGCTTATCTCAGAAGGTTGTTTTGGATGTTAGGAGACAAGGAATGCCTACAGGGCAGCATCTCCAGCAAACAGACTCTGAAACCAATCAGCACGAAGGATGTTTTCAGAGTGCACAGCAGGTGTGAGGGAGGCAGAAGGGAGGAGTTAGGCTGCAATGCAGTCACAGTGAAGGCCTCAGGTGACTGATGCTGCAACAGCCCCTTCTAAGTTGCCCAGCTTTTTGTACACTTGGGTTATCCAGTCATTAGATACAGGCTGCCCCTGGAGATTTAACCTCAAGGGCGCAGCCTCCTGCGGCCAAGGAACTCCACTGACGAGCTTCGCTGACTATTCCCCAGCATCTTGGAAGGAGACATCTGTAGGACGAATACCCCAGCATTAAAGGGGACGTCTGTTCAAGAGGAGCACCACACTGGTCGGGGCCAACATCAGTGCTATTAGCCTTCCTCACACGCACGTCTTTGCATTTAAATCTGTGTTAACAACCCTTGGTCAAGTTTCAGATATAGTTGGTTATTTCTAGGAAATGTATGGTTTTTGTTGGGATTTATTTCCTGTTTACTGCTATGTGTAAGAAAACTATCTTTCACAGCTGTCCTCCTCCCCTTATAAAATTATTCTAAGAGTTTTTCAGTTGTTTCTCCTGGGTTTTCCCCCAAAAAAAGAGTTTCTATGGAGAGATTCCGATTTCAGAGAGTTCTCACTGCCTTTTCTTATGTAACTATGCTTCCTGAACCGTGCTGAGGAGCAGGGATGGAGGCTGACCTGTGCTGCTTCACAGGGTAATGAGTATACCTCTCGAAACAAATGAATTCCTTGCCTTTGCTGCTTAAATTTAGCATACGAAAGTATTTGAGTAAGAGGAAATTTGTATTTATTAAGAAAAATTTACAATGTTCACAAACTAGAAATTTTCCTTCAGAATGACTTGCCACCAGTGGCTACAGATTATGACAACATTAGCTACTTCTAATCTCTGTCAGAGGCCTGCCTATGAAAACAGAATCCACTCCTGTGCCCTGACCAGAGGGTTCTGGGAGGGTTGGGCAGACTGGGCCCTCAGCTTCAGAGATGGCAGCCCAGAAGTTACCATGAGACTTCCTAATTCTGGTCCTGCCCACTTGGCCCCTGACCTGGGCTGGAACTGCCTCCCAGGCAGCAGATAAGTCAATGAGTTAGATACAAAAATAGCTGGTCTGGGTTTCAGCTTACTTGAAAATAAAGGTCAACATTTCCATTATAATTTTGTTTAAATGTCAAATTATGTGAAATGCTCTCACAGATTATACCAAAGTTAACTGTGTCTTAGCTATCTAGAAATCCCTCCATCAGTACAAGAATTTTGTGGTACTTAGAAGTTTGAGGGACAGGCCATCACTTAACAAGCTTATATCCAACTTGTCACTGGCAACAGATGAATTTTTAATAAATTTGACAGGGAGGCCAGCGCCACAGCTCACTTGGCTAATCCTCCACCTGCGACGCTGGCACCCCAGGTTCTAGTCCCAGTTGGGGCGCCGGTTCTCTCCCGGTTGCTCCTCTTCCAGGCCAGCTCTCTGCTGTGGCCCAAGAAGGCAGTGCAGGATGGCCCAAGTGTTTGGGCCCTGCACCCGCATGGGAGACCAAGTGGAAGCACCTGGCTCCTGGCTTTGGATTGGCGCAGCGCGCCAGCCGTGGTGACCATTTGGGGGGTGAACCAATGGAAAAAGGAAGACCTTTCTGTCTCTCTCTCACTGTCTAACTCTGCCTGTCAAAAAAAAAAAAATTGACAAGGAAAGGATACCCATGGCAGATCTGCAAGTGAGCCCCGCCCCACCCCCAATCCACTAATTCACTCCCTAAATGCAAGAGCTGAAGCTGAGAGCTGGGAACACAAACCATGCTGCCTGTGTAGGTGGCAGGAACCCAATTACTTGAGTCATAACCACTGCCTCCAAGGTTCTTCATTAGCCGGAAGCTGGATCCAGGAGGGGGAGTCAGGAATCAAACCCAGGTACTCCTTTTTTTTTTTGGACAGGCAGAGTGGACAGTGAGAGAAAGAGACAGAGAGAAAGGTCTTCCTTTGCCATTGGTTCACCCTCCAATGGCCACCACAGCTGGCGCGCTGCGGCTGGCGCACCACGCTGATCCAAAGCCAGGAGCCAGATGCTTCTCCTGGTCTCCCATGGGGTGCAGGGCCCAAGCACTTGGGCCATCCTCCACTGCCTTCCTGGGTCACAGCAGAGAGTTGCCCTGGAAAAGGGGCAACCGGGAAAGAATCTGGCGCCCCTACCAGGACTAGAACCCGGTGTGCCGGTGCCGCTAGGTGGAGGATTAGCCTAGTGAGCTGCGGCGCCGGCCAAACCCAGGTACTCCTAAAGTGGGCTATGCATGTCTTAACCACTAGGCTAATGTCTGCTCCTCCACAAGTGTTTTAAAATGTCGGTTTGGGGGTGGGTATTGTGGCAAAGTGGGTTAAGTTGCTGCTTGCGATGCTGGCATCCCATATCAGAGTACAGGTCCAAATCCTTGCTGCTCCACTTCTGATCCAGCTCCCTCTAATGCACCTGGGAAAGCAGCAGAAAATGGCCCAAGTGCTTGAACCTCTGCTACTCACATGGTAGACCCGGGTGGAGCTCCGTGCTTTAATATTTAAAAACACCCACCTGGTTTGGTTTCAGTGTACTTCTTCATGGAGCTTACAGAAACAAACAAGACACTACTAGCAAGCCATTAGACTCTTCAATGAAAATGTATTTCACATTTAGACAGAATGTATACATCATGCAAATGAGGCATTACCACAGTGAAAATGGTACTATGAGGTACAACAGATCACAACAAATGGGACATTTAGCAAAATAAAGCTCTAAGAAAAATGGCAAGGCATATTTTGAAGATCAGACCATGCTATCTTTTCTGTGTGCTTGTCATAAAAGGGATTTTCCCCTTGATACTCATCCAGATCAGTGGCACTGCATTAAGGGAGGCACATGTATTTTTATTTAGTATATACACATACACAGACATACACAAGTTTCCATAACTGATATAATTTTAAACTATAGCTGGCTTTAAGAGCACATGAATAAGATTACTATTGAGACTTCTTCATATCTCCGGGTTGCAAACTTTCCTCAGAACTATAGATCTTTCCAAACTCTTTACTACAGAAGTCAAAAAAAAAAAAGCTTCAATTAAGAAAAGGTCATTTAAGCTGAGTCACATTTCACCAGAAACAAAATTTAGAAAACAGCATTATATGGCATAGAATTTGCAGAGTATACATTCTAGTATAATTTGTATCCCTATTCAATTTTTCTTCATGTTATAGTCTCTCAAAGTGATATACTGAGACAGATTGAGGTCGTCTTCTTCCAGAGCACTGTGATTTTCATTTGTGCCTGGTTTCATCATAGTTGAGCAAGCACAGGAGCAAACAAATAGTTAAAACCCCCAAGACCCAATAGATAAATAGCAAAAACAGGAAAACTAGCCACCTGCACATGAGACACATGATTTGCTCAGTTGGACAGCCACTTGATGGTGTGGGACTATAGCTTGCAGATTTTTAGGTGTGAAATGAAAGGCTTCTGGCTAGATTCAGTTGCCCATGTATATAAGAATACACCTAAGAGAACAGAAATTATTACATACTGCTTACTTCCTTACTCAACCAGACTTATTACTTTAACCCCCAAAAGAGTAATGTGAGGCAATGCATTTTGCAGGTGGCAAAGCTTAATAATAAAAAAGGCTTCTTGATGGCACCTTTCAACAGAGAAACCCCCATGCCAAGGCAGCTTAGGGGAGGGGAGAAAGCTCCTCAATTTCTCCTTCTAAACAAAGACAGGGAGATACACAGCCAAAGTTGAGCATATCTTTAACTAGAGTTTGGGCAAATGTCTAGAATATTTTATGGAAAAAGACATCTAAATGTTTATGTGCTCCAACTTTGGGAAGAAGCATGGCTATAAAGAGAATTTCTGAGCTTGAGTCACTCAGGTTATTCAGAGATCACTACCATAATAGAGAAGTACAGGAGGTGCCTTAGCAGCAGCAGAAGCTTGTAAATAGTACTGTAAAATGAAACTGCTAAAGCCCGACAAGGCAGAAGTCTCAGGGTTTCTACCAAGAGTGGCCAGTGTTTGACATACTACCTAGGAAGACAGTTACATTCCCATCTAATAACTGGGAATCCAGAGGTTAAGGATGATAGCAGCTTCTTCAGATGACACAAGGAGCTTCACAGCTTCCAAACACCACCTGTGTTAATTAAAAAACAAAACCAGGTTGAGTTAATGAAAACACTGAGTATTTTGCAGTTTGTAGCTTCTATTCTCTCTCACTGACACAAAGTATGGTACTTACTGTCTCTCTATTTTCACTGGCTCATACAGTATTTCTCAATAGAGAACAAACAATATTTGACATAGGATTATTCTTTTAGGTGGGTCAAATTTTCCTTGTTTGAGACTTTCCTAAAACCTGCAGATGTTAACGTTTTAAGCTTTGCCTTCAGAATGCCCCCAACCATTGTGACAACAAAACCACCAATACATTTCCATATGCCCCCTAATACACTTGAAAATGTGAGAACTAGATTAAATAAAAAATTAAAATATGTAAGTAGTGTGAATAAAATGATTTAGTCAAGATCTTTTTTCTTTTTGGACAAGCATTTTGCAATTCTTTTAGAGATGTAGGAAATAAATCTGAAGACCTATGGATACTCTCCTAAATTTTGAGGATTTTCTGGTTTTTATTGGATAGTGAAGTAAGTGAACGCAAGGGAAACTAATTAAATCAAGGTATATTAACCACAAAACAGACTTCTCCATAAGCCATGGAACTGTTGGAGAAAAATAATTCTGAGTTGAATCAATGTTTTCAGTATCCAAGAAGGCAGCTGCTTTTCCAAACCAGGGATACAGTTCACCCTAAATTCATTTGTCATGCTTTTCCCTCTCACATATCAAAAGACTGCAACCACCTTCCAGAGAACCAAGAAAAGTATATTCTAAAGTCTGTCAACAGGCAAGAGTTGAGGTCAGATACAAATAAGTACATGAAACACAGTGACCTTGGCAATGGGATCTCCCCAACCTATTTCCTCATCTGAGAATTCAAAAGGTTACATTAAATCATTTCAGGAGTCAAATTTTTCTTACTATAGGAGTAGAGCATCATAAAATATAAAGTGACAAAGAATGCTATGAATATAAAAATGTTTTTAAAAGTTTGACATGAGGGGCTGGTGCTGTGTTATAGCAGGTAAAGCCACTGCCTGCAATGCTAGCATCCCATCTGGGCACTGGTTTGAGACTGGTTGCTCCACTTCCAATCCAGCTTCCTGCTAATGTGCCTGGGATAGCAGAAGAGGATGGCCCAAGTATTTGGGCCCCTGCACCCATGTGGGAGTTCCAGAAGAAGCTCCTGACTCCTGGCTTCAGCCTGGCCTTTGCAGCCATTTCAGGAGTGAACCAGCAGATGGAAGATTCCCCACCCCTCTTTCAAATAAATAAATAAATATTTTTAAAAAGATTGTGACATGGGAAGACCACTTGGAATTAAGCTATAAAAGGATGTGGTGAGGAGCCAGTACTGTGGTGCAGTGGATCAAGCTGCTGTCTGTAGTGCTGGCATCCCATATGGGTGCTGCTTACAGTTCTGGCTGCTCCACTTCTGATCCAGATCCCTGCTAATGCACCTGGGAAGGCAGTGGAAGATAGCCTAAGTCCTTGGGCCCCTGCACCCACATGGGAGACCTGGAAGAAGCTCCTGGCCTTGGCCTGGCCCAGCCCTGGCAGTTGTGGTCATTTGGGGAGTAAACCAATGGATGGAAGATCTCTCCCTTCTCTCTCTCTGTCTCTTCCTCTCTGTTAATTCTGACTTTCAAATAAATAAATAAATAAATAAATAAATCTTTTTAAATTTGAAAGTCATAGTTACACAGAGAGAGGGGCAGACAGACAGATACACAGGGGATCTTCCATCCACTAGTTCACTCCTCAGATGGCCACAATGGCTGGGACTGGGCCAGGCTGAAGCCAGGGGAGCCAGGAGCTTCTTCCAAGTCTTCCACACTTGGGTAAGAGGGGCCCAAATGCTTGGGCCATCTTTCACTGCTTTTCCCAGGCCATTAGCAGGGAGCTGGATTGGAAGTGCAGCAGCTAGGATTTGAACTGGTGCCCATATGGGATGCTGGTGTTGCAGGTGGCAGGTTTAACCCTCTATGCCATGAACAGCCCCATAAATAAATTTTTTTAAAAAGGATGTGGTGATAGACTCCAATTATGTTTTCATCATTCATAATCAAATAAACCCCAAACTCAAATAAAACAAATGTTAAGTATGTTTAACAAAGTCTACATAACTGCAGAATATATGTAATCCACAGATAACTCTGATTCAAATAAGAATAGCTTCTAGAAGCATTTTGGCAGGAAAAAAGGCCAAAGGTGGTTGAAAACCTTCAGGGCATAAACTACAGTTCTCCTTTGCCTCCCTCAGGTATGACCAAAGAACTGATGTCTGCTTTGGAAGAATCAACAGAACAGTAAATCATATGGTTCAACATTCCTCAATGTTTATGAATGATTCTAGAAGAAATGTGGGATATCACTGAGGAAACTAAGGAGGGAAATGTATTTTGCTTGCAACACCATTAGAGCAATCTCTCCTTGGCTTTAAAAAAGGCGCTACTCGGGGCCAGCTGGCGCTGTGGCATAGCAGGTAAAGCCGCAGCCTGCAGTGTTCACATCCCACATGGGTGCTGGTTTAAGTCCCGGCTGCTCCACTTCTGGTCCAGCTCTCTGCTATGACCTGGGAAAGCAGTAGAAGATGGCCCAAGTCCTTGAGCCCTTGCACCCACGTGGGAGACCCAGAAGAAGCTCCTGGCTCCTGGCTTCAGATTGGCCCAGCTCCAGCCATTGTGGCCATTTGGGGAGTAAAGCAGCAGATGGAAGACTTCTCCCTCTCTCTGCCTCTGCCTCTCTGTAACTCTGCCTTTCAAATAAATAAGTAAATCTTTTTTTTAAAAAAAAAAGGTGCTACTCTAGTCAGGGAGTGGTTAAACCTTGAGCCTTGAGCCAGTGCTTCTCAGCCTCCCTGTCCACACACTCCAGAAGACAGGGGCAGGCAGCTCAGGCACAGTGTTGAAGACTCCCATACAAAATGACTACTTGAAAGCTATCTCAGTTCTTATATATGCCACAGTATATGCCACAATATATTTGTGTTTACAGTTTTCACATAAAATTGACCATCCAGAAGGCTCAGTGATACCAATCCTATCTTCACAAACCCCAGTTGGAGATTTAGAATAAGATCAAAAGACTGTACCTTTCATTAAAGGGATGCTGCATTAGTCAACAGAAGGTGTTCAGAGTAGTTTCTTGGCCAGGACTGTTAAATCCTTCAATAAGGTTTTTATTACAGTCATCCAGGCTGAGATTTTCACTGGATCGCTTGGGGAACATGGGGGGCCCAGTGAAATCTAAGAGATCTTGAAGTGCACGGGCATTACCAGTTCCATTTTGGTCTAGAGACACCCCAGGAATCATTTCATTCACTGGTGAAAACTCTGGTATGGATATAAGTTCTTCTTTTGAAACAGGACTAGTAAACAGGACAGAAACATAGACATATACGCCACACACACACACACACACACAGAGAGAGAGAGAGAGAGAGAGAGAGAGAGAAATATGAGAACTAAGTACAACATATTTATCCTATTATTCCATGTGTAATACTGTGTTAAAATACTCTTCTAGAACATATATTTTTTACAGTGTAATACACTGTAAAAAAAAAATCGGGTTCACATTTGAGAAGTTATACCTCCACGGATGAGAACAAGGGAAGCAGATTGAGCAGGGCTGTGAAAGCCAAAGGGTAAAAGGAAGAAACCCCAGGGGCACTAGCATTCTATACGGAGAAGCAAGGCATTTCCAGAACTTTCAAAACGGGACATTCAAACAGAGGGCAAATGCTAAAAGTTCAACAGAAAGTGAGGAAGGGAACAGTGAGGGGCAGGTGGGGTTCATGTGGTGCATTTCTGGCAGTGCCACCTTGGGGAAGCTGCTTTTCCTGGGCGCCCTCCTGGCTGTTTCCTACGTGTAAAATGGGAAGAGTCCTACCATCATTTATTCCTACCAGGGCTCCTGTGAGTATGAATGTGATCACGCTGGAAAGAGTTTATGTGGAACCACCCAAAGGAAGTACTCAGTTAAGGTAACATCCATCTAGTCACCTGCGGAGTGGATCTCACTGCTTCCTCTGTAAAACCAGGCTTTCAATGCACCCTGACTTATCCAGCTCCTGCTCAGCTCAGCCTGGTTTTCTCTGTCCCACCTCTATCCCTAGAGATGAAAGCAGGCATTTCATCCACTTTATCAGTTACAGGCCTACCAAGAGCTAATCCAGGCACAGAATGGTAGGCTGGGAATTGAGGGCCTATCCCTAGAAGTTTCTTAACAGTCAGAGTAAGGCTGCTGCCAGCTTCTTTTCCTCCTTGACAAGATCTTGGAGAAGAATCTAGAAAAACCAGCTGACCTGCAGAAGCTCAGCAGCTCTATCTCCCTGGCACCTACGTCTGGTTAAGGGGCAGAAGCTGACCTGACACCACTGGGCTATCCAGAGGCTGGGCGCACTGCCTCATTAGCAGAAACACCAGCTGCATCTTCCCCTTTCTCCACAATGAACAGTTGGTCAGAGCATGGGGAAGACAGCATGCCTCTAGGAGTTACCTCTCTCTAAATTAAGAGGTGGCAAAAGTGAGAACTTAGTTAACACAGAAAGCCCTTTCACTTTCTTGAATGCCAGGCCAGTGGTGCCATGTCTTACCCCTTTCCCTCCCCTAAAACATAAAATAGGCATGGTTGGCTTAATATGGGGCTGGGGATATGCTGTGTTAACCCTTAAGGTGCCAGAGTTATTTTCTACTGGGGGCAAAGTAGCACCAGTAAGGTAAGCCTGCTGTGATGTCACAATGCGGGGGAATGGCAGGTAGAAGATCCAGGTAAGAGCCGAATGTGCCTGCTCTCAGTCTGCACAGGACTTGCTCTACTGGTAATGGGACTGTTGGACCCTGGATTTTCACGTGTCTGGCTCAAATCCAGGGTAGATGAGGTGGGTACCTAGAAGCAGCATGCTACAGGAGGCAAGCACAGACCTACGCAGGTACAAAGCTGAGAACTCACAGCCAGGAAGAGAAGGTTAAGCTCTAGCAGGCTGGAACTCTGGCAGAGTTTTTACAAAATACTGTCATTCCCTCCTGACTGAGACAGCCAACCCGCACTCCAAATGCTTTGCCCAAAGCTGCTGTTCCAATGTCTCTGTCCCAGTCATTCCCAGGTCATGTCATCTACAAATATAATACAAGTTTAAGAATTCCTGAAGATTGTAGGATCTGGAAGCCAATACTAAGCCTTTACTAAGCCTCCAATGACAAGTTTATTAAACACTAGACACAGGGCACAGTGGACCCTGTTGGTGTCTCACCCAGATGCCCTTTTACCTTTATGCATCCAATACCTACCCCCATTCCACTGCCCCACCTCAGAGAGAACTGACTGCTCAGGACCCAAAAGTGGTCACCTTTCCTCCAGACAACCACCTTTAGCTGATGGGGGACTCTGTGTCCACAAAGTTTGACCTGCATCTCCTACCCTGGGGTGGGGGGTGGGGGCACAGCAATGACAGACACAGTGGTGCAAAAGCCACCTCCCTTATTCTTAATCTGACAATACTTGGATGGAAAGTCATCTTCCAGAGCTCCATATAGGATGTTTGCTTGGTGACTTCCCTCCCTCTCCTTTCTCCTGAGGGTTCTCCTCCAATAAACCACGTGCCTAGAAACTCTATTCCAGGCTCTGCTTCTAGGAAATCTAACCCGAGACACTGGCTTTATACTGCTGATAACTTTCCTGTACTGTCAACCACAACCCGCTTTAGGTGACTTCATTGTGTGAGATGAAGAAACCAATTTAAAAGACAGTGGCAGTGTTTGGAGAAGAAGGAAAACTTAATGAAATATAAAACAAGTTGACATACCTCACATCCATAGACTGAACTTCTTCAGTTGAATCATCTAAACTGTTTGATTTTCCATCAAGGGCATCCAGAAGGACGAGTCCCCCAACTGGTTTAATCCCATTTGAGAAAATGTCTTGAGGAAACGTTTCTGGGGCAGTGTGCCCAATGCCATCAACTTCCTGGCAGGTGTTCAACCCACTGATTTCTGATTGAGAACACAAAGTTCTCATGTCAATCATAAAATATCCACAACAATGAAACAACAGGAAATACACGTCAAGACAGTTCATTTAATCCTTTGCATCACCGACAGTGCAACATCTTTTGTGTAAAGAACCACAAATAATGCACGTCATCACCTTCACACAGGGAAGAGAACCAGTTACATCATCAGCATGTGTGTGGAGGCCCTGGAGAAGAGCAGAGCCACGTCTCAATAAAACCTGAGCAACAGTCGGGCCCCTGAAAAGCACCCTAGGCCAGCAGAGAGCAGGCCTCTGACGCTGGGGTTGTTAGAGTAACTGAGGAACCCTGTGGTTCTCAAATGGAGCTGACAGCCCCTGTGCTAAGGAGATGTCCCAGAAGGGAAAACTGCACAGGCCCTGCTGACAGTCACTCTGGGGATTCAAAGATGCTTTTCCCTACTAGAAATCTTATGAACTCTCACCGCTGAAAGGAAGAACCCAAGCAGCATGCATCGCTCACCTATTTTGTTGGGGACAACTGGTTTTATCTTATTTTCCACATATACAGGAGGCTGAATCTCTACTTTGGGTTCTTCTTTCTGAAACCAAACAGATGGTGGATGACAAAAAGGAAGGCTGATGTTATACAGAATTTTTTGAAGTGCTTTTTTTTTTTAAGATTCATTTATTCACTTGAAAGTCAGAGTTACACAGCGAGAGTAGGAGAGACAGGCAGAAAGGTGTGTGTGTGTGGGGGGGGGGGTCCTTCCATCTGCTGGTTCACTCCTCAATTGGCCACAATGGACGGAGCAGCAACGATCTGAAGCCAGGAGCCAGGAGCTTCTTCCAGGTCTCCCACATGGGTGCAGGGCCCAAGAACTTGGGCCATCTTCTACTGCTTTCTCAGGCCATAGCAGAGAACTGGATCGGAAGTGGAGCAGCCAGGTCTCCAACCAGTGCCCGTATAGGATGCCAGCGCTGCAGACTAGGGCTTCAACGCGCTGCACCACAGCACCGGTCCCAAAGTGCTTTTTAAAAGCATCAGAGTATATTTGGAGCCCTATTGGAGCATCATCCTGTTTTATGGTAATTTTCTTGCTATCATGTCTCTTTTTTATTCATGGGCCAAGGTGGCTCTTCCTGCCACCCTACCCTTATTTCTCTGAGCTCTTTCACATCAGTGAAACTGAAAAATTCCCTTTTAGGCACAAATATACTCCTTAACCTAGCCAGGAACAAAGTAGGTAGAGTCCATTTTTTTCTGGCTAATTCTGAGACCTACAATTTCATTCAGTGAATGAAATCCTGCTCTCCTTTTCTAGTCAGTGCATAAACTATTAAAATGGACAACTGAATTCCTACCTTTACTTCTACAGATACATCACTCTTCCTTGTTCTCTTCATGATTTCATCTATCCTCTGGAAAGCAAAAAGAATCAAGTAAGATGTCCATCAGACCAAAAACATATACAAATAGCTGGATCTATAGGCAATTCCACTTTTCTCAGAAAACTCATACAAGACAAATGTCAGCAGAACACAAAAAGTACAGAAAGGTTTTCCATTGGTTTTTGCAGATGTCCACCTCTGGCCCTACACACACTGTCACATGCTTGAGAAGTGAAGCAGTACATATCTGAGAATCAACATTTAACTCAGCCCATCTTTCTTAGGTTCACTATAAACTAACAAATCATCACCCACTGTTCAAGGGGAACAACCTCCAGAAAGCAAAGTCGGGGTACAGCTCAGGAGGGAAGGCCACAGGCTGGTCTCCCAGATCCTAGACCTACTGCAAAACAAACCCAAAGCAGGGCCCAGGACACATGAGAATGGACCTTTATAATCAGCCACTTCCTTAAACCCAACTTTATCTATACGTACATTAAATTTAAATGGAACAAAGATCCCAATCAAAAGAAAAATACTGTCAAATTAGATTAAAATAACAAATCCTGACAATATATACTGCTTACAGGAGATATACCAATAAAGAAACATAGTTTAAAACAAAAGGATGTAAAAATCTATTATGCAGATACTAATCATAGAAAGGTCGCAAAGGCAAATTTTTTTATTTTTTTATTTTTATTTATTTATTTGAGAGGTAGAGTTACAGACAGTGAAAGGGAGAGATAGAGAGAAAGGTCTTCCTTCCGTTGGTTTACTCCCCAAATGGCAGCAATGGCCGGAGCTGTGCCGATCCGAAGCCAGGAGACAGGTGCTTCTTCCCAGTGTCCCATGTGGGTGCAGGGGCCCAAGCACTAGTGCCATCTTCTACTGCTTTCCCAGACCATAGCAGAGAGCTGGATTGGAAGAGGAGCAGCCGGGACTAGAACCGGTGCCCATATGGGATGCCAGTGCTGCAGGCGGAGGATTAACCTACTGCGCCACAGTGCCGGCCCCGCAAAGGCAAATTTTAAGACAAGAAGTATTTCTAGAGATAAAGAAGGCCATTTCATGATAAAGGGGTCAACTGAACAGGAAAAATATAATAACCTGTAATGTATATTTACTCAACAATGGGGCTTCAAAGTATTTGTATACTTTGAAACAAAAAATGATAGAACTAAGAGGAGAAATAGATAAATCCATAATTACAATAGAGCTTTAAACACTAATCTCTCAGGAACTCAGACCCCAAGATGAGAAGAGCTAAGATACAGAAGATGTGACCACTCTCCACATCCTTGCCTTCATTCCCAATTCTAAGAGCACTCTCTCCGATTACTGCGGAACAGAACTGGATGCCCTTCCTGCTCCTGCTTCATCCCAAATCCTCCTGATCCCTCATCCCTTACCTTCTTTCTCTCCAGTCGCTCCTGCTCAATCTGCAGCATGATCTGTTCTCTTTCCAGACGCAACTGCTTAGCTGCCTCCTGGGCTTTTGCTTCTGCTGCTTCTTTCTGATAGAAACAAGGAAACCAAGGCACAGTAATTCCCTGGACTTTACCTTATCACCTGCTCTGATATTCAATGTGGATTTATACAATCTATTTTGTGACACAGAAGACATAGTTGGGCCTCATTCATGTACCCTTGGTCCACCATGCAAAAGTACCTGCAGACAGTTCCCACAGATGGCTGATATCTTTCAGTGTCTGTGGGCAGACTCTGGCCATAAAGTGTGCATGTGGGTAGAAGTTTCGGGGAGTTAATTCCTTAAGGAGCGACCTTCTTCAGTGAGGGATGGGAGCTACTAAGTAGTCTCATTTCTTCATCCTACAGAGGGACAATTCTAAGCCATGATCTACAGCCTTTTTTTAAAAAAAGGCTTATTTTTATTTATTTGAAGGCAGAATCAGAGAGAGAGAAGGAGAATGAGTGAGATCTTATATCTTGGGCCATCCTCCACTGCCTTCCCAGGCACATTAGCAAGGAGCAGGACTGGAAGTAGAGCAGCCAGGTCTCTAACTGGTGCCCATATGGGATGCACGCATTGCGGGCAGAAGCTTTACCTGTTACACCACAATGCCTGCTCCTATCTACAACCTCTTAAGAGGGTCTCAAAAGGTTTGAATTCCAGCTGCCTATAGTAATCTGCTCACCAGTGCACGGATACTGACTTTTCTTTCAGTCCTCTACCAGCTTCTTAGGACTCCCTCCCCCAGAAAAGTGCTGAACCCAAATTCTTATCCCAGAGTCTGCCTTTGGGGAAACCCAAACCAACAGATGACAAGCATTACCAACTTCCCTTTGACTGTCTCAGTAACTTATATTTAAGAACAAGCCCAGCAGTTTAAGAAAAAATGTCAAATATTGAGTCACTCAAATTTAACAAAATTTTCCTAGTAGTAACTAAAGCCCTTGAAAAACAAGGAAAAGCTGCAGTACCTGCTTTTCAATCATGGCTTTTTCTTGCTTTTCTTTTTCTTGTTCTTCCTGTTCTTGCTTTTCTTTCAACAGCAGCTCCTCCTCAGCCTTCCGCTTGGCTTCCTCTCCCGCCTTTCTTTTCTCTTCTTCCTGCTGCTTCTTTTCCTCTTCCAGCTTACGGGCTGCTGCTTCTAGGCGAAGCCTTTCTTCCTCTGCCTTTCTTTTCAGTTCTCTCTCCAGCCTTTTGAGAACATAATTGTTGTTAGAAGATGACACACTCAAAAGGCAAACTGCCAAAGAACTGTGTGCTGGCAGCAGAGTAATGCTGAATACATCAACAAATACACGCATTTGCAATCGTATCCACCTAATAAACTGATTCAGCCTTCCCAGAAATCCATTTGTCTATACAGTTATCAAAAAATATTAATCAGGCTTGACTTTTAATTGTGTAACACAAAGACTTAAGGATGTATTGATCTGGAAAATATGCTGTAGTGAACACACACATATGCTCTCCAGTCAATCTAGAAATTACCACAATAGCCAAGAAGTCAAGCCCCATTATTCTTATTTTAATAATTCTTAAAGAAAAAAACTAAGCAAAATAAATATTTAACATCAAGTTAAGCTAGATAAAATAGGAAGTGTCACGATGGCCACAAATGTTCTAGTCAGCAATGTAAGAGCAGGGACTATAAAGCACAAAAAAATTCACTTTGGGTTCTAACTGGTATGACTTGTGCAGTAGAAAATGGGAGAAAACACTCAAAAGAAATTTGACATTTAATACAGAAATCAAAGCATGATTTCCAATTTGTTTCAGCAATCTTTAAAATCTATTTTGGCTTCTATTCTTGCTATCCAAAAAAATCAAATGATGTTTATACATTTTCATCTATAGATGAATGGTTCCTAAACCGCAGTGAGGGAAAATTCTGTAAAGTCTAAGCAAGGTTTATTTTTATATTTCTAATGTTCTTCCTGCTCACATATGAGTTACTTTCCTTGGGTGATCACTGGCAATATGATATATGGGTAAGACCTAAACTGCATTCCAACTGTGCCAATTCACTGTGTCATACTTAGAAAGTCACTCAACATTTCTGATGCCCATTTAAAAAAATGGGAATAGTTATACTACTATTCCATGGCATTACTGTGAAAGCTAAATGAAACAGTGAATGGGAATGCCTGGTTCTAAAAGATTCTCAAATGTTAGCTTATTTTATGATTTAAAACAAATCCTCCCTCCAACCTCCAAAGTCCTTAAGTACAATCTAAACATCTGTATGGTTTTTAGAAATTACCTTTATTTGAAAGCATGTGTCACTGACTTATTGGGGTGTCGTTTTATGGTTATAAACAGGTCAAGACTTAAAAAGAATATCCTTCCATCCTAATGGTCAGCTTCAGGAATCATGGAAGCTAATAGCCTATGCATCATCAGAGAAATAAAAGCCATCATGGTAAGTGGTAACATACCCTGTGTTAACAGAGATCACAGTGCCTACAAACACTGCGAAACAATTCAAAGTATTCATAGATATTCTGGAGAAGAACTTTATTGAACCTAATCAGAAAGAAACTCATCCAACACAGGCTTATAAAAAATAATTGTGTTGATAACAAGATTTATCCAAAAGTGAATCACAGCATTGTTTCACTTCTTATCCTTTTATAAAGGATCTGTGATTGTCTTAGAGAAATTAACACACAAACTACTTCACAAAGGATCTGTTATCTTCATCTCCCAGATCTGAGAATCCAGTTTTTTCCACTTTTACCTTCAGGACCTCAGAGGTGCCCAGACACATATACACACAGTATACCCTTATGGCCCCTAAATCTCTATCATTCTCATTATCACCCTAAACATAAATCCCTCCCCACAGGCCTTCAGCCCCTGCTTGTCTTTTCCATGGTACCTCTATGGAAATCCTGTCCTTTTGGAAACTTCTCTCCCTTAACCACACCTTGCTTCTCTCAAATTAAGCAAAAAATTGGCTTTCCCCATGTGAAACCAGGTCCCTCACAAACCTCTCCAAAGATGAACACTGTTTTTCTGCCTGCTTAAGAAACCAGAGAGAATATTATTTCACCATTTTCCCCACCAGCCCTCTGCCATAGGCCACAACCAGTCCACTGCCATTGCCATCATTACTAAGTTCCTTTCAGAGTTCACCAGACCTACATGCAATGCTGTTACCCTCTCCATCCTGACATTCCCCAAGCCCACCCCTGCTTTCTCACCGACTAAGTAAAAAGTACCATAAAACTGTGCATCAGTATCATCATTTGGTACTTAATGGATGTATTCCTTGTCCCTGTCACTGGTGATTAGTGGGGGTCTTTGTATAATGGCCCTCTCGTCTTCACTCCCTCTTCTGTCACACCCTGTGGTACCTTGCTCATATCACTGACACGTGTTCCACTTTGGCTTGTTCAATCTGGTAGATGAGTATGTGGGCTTCACTGGTCTCTTCTTTATTCCTATGTGCTTAAAAGTCAATTTTTAAAAAGGCATAACCATCAACATTAACCTTGTTTAATCTCATCTCACTACATTCTTCCATCTTTTTCTCCTTGACCTTCTCTGGTTAACACCATGAAGTTCACTTGTGTCTACTATGTTCTTTTCTCTCAGTGACCTCCAAGTTTCGGATCCCCTTCCCAGCATTTCTTAGGTGGCACCGAGATCACTCTGATGTTCAACTCGAGGCTTTGGTGGTCACAGGGACAACTCATGCTCTTCCTGAGCTGCCAAGCATTGGTTATAGAAAGGTGCAAACATTGATGCTATCACCAGACCACTTTGTAGAGAAGACAGAGGGGACTTGAGCTGAGTTTCTTAAACCTCTCTTCTCTGTAGGATTACTTTTCAGAAAATCTCCCTTTTCCCTTTGCTTAGATGCAAAGGATCACAAGCGCCACCATGTGTGCTATGAATGCCACATCCTCCTGCCACTCCATGTTCCTCCTCCTAGCCCCCTCTGCCAGCTTCACCTTTCTACTTGCACAATTCCATGGCCTACCGAAATACACAGATCTCAGGCATCCAAATGAACCATCTTCATCTTTTCTCACCTGCTTTCCCCTTATATTCAGGGCCTCCACACTCTTACCTCTCTTAAGCTGCTTTATGTCTCCTCTTCTCAACAATTTCCCTCCAAAATGTTTGTTCATCTCCTGAACTGCAAGACCAATAGCTTTTTTACAGCCTCGCCATGTCTCCTAGGTGCCAAGAGCACTGAACATCCCTCCCATATGGTCCTCTATAGCCCTGTGCAGTGGAATGCCATGTTACCCTGCCTCCCTCCTAATACAAATGGGACGGGCCCTTACCTGCTCTAGGTCACACCAAAACCACCTGTTACCTGGAAGCTCAGCCAGCGAGAAGGTCTGAGCAGCTCTGAGGACTTCTGCCTGCAGTTCCAGAGCTGGGGCTAGCTCTTGCTTCGATACTGAGCATCAGCCTGGCTACATGATGTTGCTCATAGGGGCTGCCTTACTTGAATATTCTCTGATGTGGGCCCCTAGCAGATATTTTGGCTTCTTCATGTCATTTAATGTGATCTTTGAATCCCAGTAAGATCTCTTGCTTGTTAATTTCTGCCACTGCCTTCCCCATGTAGACTTGGAATTTCAGGTTTGTTATCTCAGCTCTAAGAATTGTACTTTATATTTTGGGTCACCCTTAAGTCCAGGGGCTGACCTTGCTCTGTGTGCTTCTGAGAGAGCCCTGATGCCACTGTTAGTTGGGAATGGACTAGCTTTTAGGGCCTAGTTGTTCAGACTCTTGGTCAGTCCTTCTATTAAGGGGAGTGTCTCCTATCCCTGACTTGGATGGCACTTCTCTCACCAGCTGGTGATAATAATTGGGCTTTCCACAGTTTGGCTCAAGTATCTTTATTTTTCACTATATTCTCTCATCTGGCAATCACATTTCTGTGGCTTTAACTATTGCCTCTAAACATGCAACAGGTGTGAGGATGATCTTATTCCAAGAGGAATCCGCTGTGTTCCAGCCCCAGGTTGTCTGGTACTTGCTTTCTCACCTCCCAAGGCTTCATATTCTGGCAAGAGAGAGGAAAACTGATTTTGGGTCAAGTGTATTGCACTCATTTTTTTTACGTTTGTCCCAGGCTTCGATTCCATTTCCAATCACCTGGATATTCTGTAAGCACCTTAAATTTAGTTTATGGAAAATCAAACGGATATTCTGTATATTTGAAAATCAGTTCCTCCTGCCCTTCCTTCCTCTGTTATTGAGTATACCGTTCTCCTAAGTCCTTAGAATCAAACCTTAACATTAACTTAGAACCTGCCAACTTATTTTTTAAATATTTATTTACTTTGAAATTCAGAGTTATGGGGTGAGGTGGGAGGAGAGAGAGAGAGAAAGAGAGAGAATGAATATCAATCCCCAGGTGGCCAAAATGGCCAGGGCTGGGCCAGATTGAAGCCAGGAACTTTATCCAGGCCTCCCATGTGGGGTAGCAGGAGCCCAAACACTGGAGCTACCTTCTGTTGCCTTTTCCAGGCTATTAGCAGGGAGCTGAATCGAAAGTGGAGCAGCTGGGACATGAACCAGGGCCCATATGGGATGCCAGTGGCAGCTTTACCTGCTATGCCGCAATGCCAGTCCCCTGACCACTTTTTTTTTTTTTGAGCTATGGAAGTCAATATACTCCCCCTAATGCTATCCAATAGAACTTGCTATGATGATGAGAAAATTGTTCTATAGACTTGCACCATTCAATACAGTAGCTACCAGCCACATGTAGCTACTGTGCATTGAAATGCAGCTAGTATTCTGAAGGAAATGAATTTTACATAGTTTTCCTTAATTTAATTTTAGTAACCATATGTGCCTACAGGCTATAGTAGTGGACAGTACAGCTCTAGACAGAGCCCAGGCCATAGCCACAGAGTCAGGGAGACATCCATCAATATGCAAGTGTTATTTAGGACCCTCCTTTTCCTAGAAAGTATACAAGGTTTATAAAGTAAGCTGCAATTAGCTTCAGAAATAGATGATATACATGAAGCAAAGGGAAAATGAAGGTATGAAGGGAGATGGGAAGAGTTGGCATAGCACATCAAAGGATTAACAGTAAACTGTTGCATGAGAAGTGACCCTTAGATCTTTTGAAGCCAGAGGAAACTGGCAGCACTACAGAGACAGTGGCAGAGCAGGAGAGAGTATTGGGAGGGCTTGTCAGGCAAGAAGCTGGTCAAGGGCTGAGGGCCAGGAGCCCAGACAACATTTAAAGGGATGAAGAGTGAGGAGAGCAGGGACTGGCGCCATGGCTCACTTGGTTAATCCTCCGCCTGCGGCACCGGCATCCCATATGGGCACCAGGTTCTAGTCCCGGTTGCTCCTCTTTCAGTCCAGCTCTCTGCTGTGGCCTTGGAAGGCAGTGGAGGATGGCCCAAGTGCTTGGGCCCCTGCACCCGCATAGGAGACCAGGAGGAAGCACCTGGCTCCTGGCTTCGGATGGGCACAGCTCCGGCCGTAGCAGCCATTTGGGGGGTGAACCAATGGAAGGAAGACCTTTCTCTCTCTCACTAACTCTGTCTGTCAAATAGTTAAAGAAAGAGTGAGGAGAGGAGACTGAGAGGCTAGAGGAACAATGGCAAGCTTGACATGATCAAGGCCAATCAAGAAATCAATTAGGAGTTCAGTAGATGGAAGAATATCAGGTGTGAGAAACACTGAATTGAACTGAGGAAATAAGGAGAAGATGTACAATCAATTCAGGAGCTGGGTGTGAAGGAAATGTAGTAGCTGGAAGGCAAAGAACTTCACCTTCTTCAACACACAGCAACAATCAAGTTACTCACCTGCTTAGAGCCTGTATAATGTCTCCAAAGTCTGTGATTACCAAAGGCCTGTCACTGGAGGTCCAGTGATTCATCTTCATCTCTTGTGACCCCCCTTTTACACATCTATGGCCTACCCAAACCAGCTGAAATATACTACACAACAAAATAAAAATCTACCAATATTGACCAAAAGCCTGGAATTTGCAGAAGGGAGTTAGTTACCTCTCACTCTTTTAAAGAAATTCATCAACAAACCTGTACTCAGAGACCACAAAGACTTGCCTAGGCCACTAAAGGATTATTCAAAATTTAGTGCTGGCCTTGAAGTGCTACAGTATCACTTGCTATCATGCTGATTATCTAAATAGTACTGACTGTACGCTATGATTATCCTAAGAGCTTCCTTTACCAATTCAATGATAAAAATCTACCTTGTTCACTAGCATGTACTCCTCTCTGAATACAGACACCAGAAAAGGCAAGACTGGACGGTGACGAAGTGCCCTTGTATTAACACCGCAGTGCTTCCCAAGCACGGGCAAGCTCCTGAAATAGGACAGGGTTCAGGCCCATGTATTTTCACTGTGTTCCCTGGGACGATTCTGATACCTTCCAAGGTTTAGGGACCACTGCTATGTCTTTTAGCTTGCTCCAGGATGGCTCTTCTTGGCTCGCTGCTCATGGACTATGAGGTTGACACTGCCCCCCCCCCACACCATCCCCTGTCGCTCTGGAATGCAAAATAGGATAATTGGGGGAGAAAACAATTTGAGGAGCAGAATCAAGACCTCTATATACAGAACGTCCTATCTTTCCAGGGAAAATCTTAATGTGTAAACAAAGCTTAAATCCCCCTAAAAGCTTTTATGAGGACTTTGAGTCTCAAAGTCCAATATTTAGATCCAAGAGCTGTAAGTTTCCAGGTTCTCTGAAAACAGTAAAGTTCCCTTGCTGATCATTATATCTAAGATATGATACAGATTCCCAAGCACCTTCCAGGCAGAGCAGGATTTTAGGTTCCAGTATTTCTGCTCAGGTTTTAGCATTACCGAAACTGTAAAAAGAAACACAAGTTGTTCTTTCTAGCACAGCCTTTACACAAGACCAGGACAAAACTCTGCGCACTCGTGTACCTGTTTTGTTCTTCCTTCTCGAGTCGTTCTTGTTCCTCCTGTTCTTTCTGCAGCCGGGCCTGTCGCCGTTTTTCAGCCAGGATCTTTGCAGCCTCTCCTGCATCAGTGGTGCCTGCTGTGGGCTTCCCCAAGGCTGTGTCAGAGGAGAGGTATCAAGAGCAAACGATCAAGAAAAACAAACCTAATGATTCCACGTACACAGAATGTGCCAATGGGACATGAAAAACCCATCCCAGCGTGATGAAGGGAAACACTGCCAGGACCAGCACAATCAGTCATGGAGCAGGAGAAGCTGCAATAGCTTGGCTGTAGCCCTGGACAAATTTCACAGCAGAGGGTAGTGGAAAGGTGAGAAGAGACAAGGTCACTGGCATGTACCACAGCAGCCACTATCTGAGTCAACTTACTACATCATAGAGGCAAGTGTTAAGGACTAAAGAAGGTCATTATCTTCTTTAGTGTTTCTTTTTGCAGTTTTCATTATCAGGAAGTACAGATGATGGCTGAATGAGCCTGTCTTAACACTCTGTGAGCTTTTACAGCCAAGAGTAGAGTCAGCTCCTAGGTCTCCTCTGGGGGGTTCTCAGGAAACTGCGGAGGACTCAGAAACAACAGGCACGCCTGAGAAAGAAGAATGAGGTAATGAAGTTGTTCCGGGGGAAAATTCCTCTCTGTCCCCAAGTATGAGAGAATGGCCTGTGCATTGTGCCAGAGGGAGAACCATCTAGGATAAGTCTAGGGCCAGTGGTAGCGTCGACAAAAGTCTACCTGTACTAATCTCGGCCTTTCCTCCTGCATGCTTGTCTGCTATGTGCTTCTCACTGATGTGTTTCTCAGCCATGTGCTGCTCGCTGGCACGTTTATCAGCCACATGTTTCTCGCTGGTGCGCCTGTCGGCCACGTGCTTCTCACTGGAATGCTTATCTGCTATGTGTTTCTCTGGGGCTTCCTCCACGTGCAGGGCAGCCACCTGCTGACCCAAGGCATTTTCCCTTTCCTTGTTGCTCTTCTCTTTCTCTGCTTTCTTCTTGAGCACTTCTTGGCTGGGAAGGGCAGGAAAGCGGTATCTCACGGGAGACCCTAGGTATGGTGGCTTCATCGTTTTTGGAGATGGCGGATATGCTTTTGAAGTTGTCCTGGAAAACCAAAGACATGCTGTAAGATGATTACCAGGCCTCACCACAGAGCTCTATGTTCTTAAGACGCCTGGTTCCACAAAGGGGAATAACTTCATCCTTCTGGAGAAACAAATGTAAGGCTCAGCACATCCTCAAAAGTCTTTAAAGTCTTCTTACCCTCCCGGGACATACAGTATTTATAAGATAGCTGTGGTGGAAAGGGAAGTATTGTAGTAAGACTAGCTGGTGAGAACATGTCCTAATCTCACCTAGGTTCAACCATAACCTAAGGATGGGTACTGTGGTTTGGATATGGTTTGTTTCCTAAAGTTACATGTGCTAGAAGACTGGTCCCCAATACAACAATGCTGAGAGGTAGTCAAATCTTTAAGAGGTGGGGCCAACTGGAAGGCGATTAGGTCATTAGGATTAATATCTTCATGAATGGATGTCTTTCTTGAGAGATTCGGCTAATTCTTTGAGAGCTGATTAGGTCACTAAGGGAAGCACATTAGGTCTTGTAGGACTGAGTTAGTTATGAGAATGGGTTTAGGTTAGCCACCCTGGTCTCACACATGCTCTGCTCTTTGGCTTGTCTTGTGCCTACTTTCTTTCTGCTTTCTGCCATGAGATGACACAGCATGAGGCCCTTATCAGAAGCCTAACAGATGCTAGTACAGTGCTCTTAAATGTCCCTGCCTCCAAAACTGTGGGCCAAAATAAACCCTTTTTCTTTGTAAAGTACCCAGTCTCAAGTATTTTGTTATAGCAACAGAAAACCAACTAAGATAGATGGAGTGCCAGGCATTTTTCCACTACTTTTTTCTTTTCTTTTCAAAATTATTTATTTATTTTCACTTTATTTCAAAGGCAGGAGAGAGAGTGACAGTGTTTCCATTAGTTGGTTTACTCCTCAAAATAAATGCAATAGCCAGGGCTGAGCCAGGCCAAAGCTTCAAGCTCAGAATTCAGTCTGGGTGTTCCACATGGATGGCAGGGACACAACTACTTGAGTCAGAGTTTGCTGCCTCCCAGGGTGTGCATTAGCAGGAAGCTGGATCAGAAGCAGAGGGTCTGGAACTGGAACCAGGCACTCTGATACAGAATGTGGGCATCCCAAGTGGTGTCCTAACTGCTGCACCAATTACCTGCCCTTCTTGCAGTTGTCACAGAATAATACGTAATATGTTAACATTATCTTTAGTCACCTGACTACGCAATAGCACACCAGAACTTCTTATTCCTATCTAATTATAACTTAGTACCTATGAATCATCTTTTCTCAATTCTCTCCCATCTTCCCTCCTCAGCCACTGGTACCATTATACTCTTAACTTCTACGAGGCCACCTTTTCAAGACTCCACATATGAGTGAGAACATGTGCTACTTATGTTTCTGTGCTTTTCTTACTTCATTTAACATAACAATCGCCTGTTGCATCCATGTTGCAAATATCAAGATTTCATACTTTTTTTCCTCAGTAATATTCCACTGCATCCCATTTTCTTTATCCATTTGTCAGTGGATGGGCACTTCGGTTGTTTCCATTTCTTGGCTACTGTGAATAGTGATGCAATAAACATGGGAGTGCAGATGTCTCTTCAACAGGGTAATTCATTTCACTTAGAGAAATACCCAGTAGTGGGTTTGCCAATCTACTGGAATGAGGTGATATCTCATTTGATATGCATTTGCTTGATCATTAATGATGTTGAGCCTATTTTTTCATATACCTATTGGCTATCTGTACGTTTTTCTTTGAGATACGTCTGATGAGATCTACTGGCTTTTAAAAATGGGGTTGTTTCAGGCCGGCGCCGTGGCTCAATAGGCTAATCCTCCACCTTGCGGCGCCGGCACACCGGGTTCTTGTCCCGGTTGGGGCGCTGGATTCTGTCCCGGTTGCCCCTCTTCCAGGACAGCTCTCTGCTATGGCCAGGGAGTGCAGTGGAGGATGGCCCAGGTGCTTGGGCCCTGCACCCCATGGGAGACCAGGAAAAGCACCTGGCTCCTGGCTCCTGCCATCGGATCAGCGCGGTGCGCCGGCTGCAGCGGCGGCCATTGGAGGGTGAACCAACGGCAAAGGAAGACCTTTCTCTCTCTGTCTCTCTCTCTCACTGTCCACTCTGCCTGTCAAAAATAAAAAAATAAAAAAAAATGGGGTTGTTTCTTTTGCTATTGAATTGAGTTCTTTGTATATCTACCACCTCTTTCTATATGAACACAAGGGTTGGATCTGGCTTCCACATACAGCAATGGGTTAATGGGTTCCTTTTTTGAAAACTGTGATAAAATATATATAACTTTACTTACCGTTTTGACCATTTATAATGAATTAATTTATTTTGAAAGAGTTACAGAGACAGATGGAGATACAGAGGGAGAGACACACACACACACAGAGAGAGAGAGAGACAGATCTTCCATCCACTGATTCACTTCCCCAGATGGCTGCAATGGCCAGCACTGGGCAAATCCGAAGCCAGGGGCCAGGAGCTTCTTCCAGGAATCCCACATAGGTGGCAGGGGCCCAATTGGGCCATCTTCCACTGCTTTTCCCAGGCCATTAGATGCTAGAGTTTCAGGAGGTGGCCCAATCCACTATGCTACAATGCTGGACCCCCTTTTTAACCATTTTTAATTGGAAAGTTCAGTGGCATTAAGGACATACACAGTGCTATGCAACTATCACCACCATCCATCTCCATTAAATATAAACTCCTCATTCCCCCTACTTCCTGTCTCTATGAAATTGCCTATTCCAGGGGCCGGCGCTGTGGTGCAGCGGGTTAACGCCCTGGCCTGAAGTGCGCCAGCATCCCATATGGGTGCTGGTTTGAGACCCAGCTGTTCCACTTCCCATCCAGCTCTCTGCTATGGCCCAGGAAAACAGTAGAAGATGGCCCAAGTCCTTGGGTCCCTGCACCAGCGTGGAAAACCTAGAAGAAGCTTCTGGCTCCTGGCTGCAGATCCGCACAGCTCCGGCCATTGTGGCCTATTAGGGAGTGAACCAGCGGATGGAAGACCTCTCTCTCTCTGCCTCTTCTTCTCTATCTGTGTGACTCTTTCAAATAAATAATAAATAAATCTTAAAAAAAAAAAGAAACTGCCTATTCCAGCTACCTCACATAAGTAGAATCATACAGTATTTGTCTTTTGGTGTCAGGGTTATTCCACTTAGCGTAATGTCTTCAAGGTTCCCAGTATGAACAGCTCAATAGCAGAAGGTAATGGACCATGATGAACTCACATCTTCAGTGTGGTGGGAGCCTGAAGGTTCTGTTAGATCCATTTAAGGATGAGAGTACTTCAGAAAGTTTGTGGTGAGATAGAATTAAAAGATAAGTTTATTTTGGTACAAAATACATTTTATACCCATGCACAGGTTTTTTATAATATGCATTTTCTATGAACTTTTTGAAGACGCCTATAGATAGAAATGTCAGGAGTATAATTCTAGGGAGAAAAGGTCAGATTGGCCTGAGTGGGGGAGGTTCTGACAGCCTCAAGTCACTATGTCCCTGAGCAGCTTTGCTTCGACTTGTTTTAACAGAACAGTCATGTGTAGGTTCAGTTCTAACATATTGCAAAGTTCTATTCTAAATAAAACTAGGCCAATTACTCATGAACACACATTTAAGAATAACTTCTCACTGAGAAGTAATGGTGGATTATTCAAGATAAAACTCATTAAGAAGTGTTTACATTCCCCTACCCATGAATAACAAAATAAATTCGAAAATACACAAAAAGGTATAGACACTCTTACATACAATACGAGGGGGTCTTCCATAAGCTCATGAAAAGGCATATAATGGAAAAATTACACATAGATTTAAAATTTTTGCACCAAACTAAACTTATCTTTTATTTTCATTTTCCACAAATTTAACGTTAAGTCCCCTTGAACAAATATGACCTTCAAATTAGAGAAGTGTGTACCAAGTCATAGATTTTTTTCTAACAGGGAGTAACTAAAAACAGAATAAAATCTTCAAAGTTCTACAGTTTAGCTACCTATCTGTAGTTTCCTGCTCCTCCTGCCTTGTCATTTGCTTACATGCACCCAGCACTGTGCAAGCTGCCTTGTAAGAGCTGTTAGGCACAGGCATCTTGAACAAGGCAATGTGGGTCTGGCAAGCCCCATGGCTCTCTAGCCAGCCCGGCTCATCCCATCGTGAGCAACTGAAGTCTGGCAAAGTAATTTTATTTTAATTTGCCAGAAATAAGTATCCTGGCTAATGAAAGAAATTAGACATAAATTAATCGGGGTAAATCACTGTGCTTTTTATAGATTTTTATTTTTAAGTACCTTCTTGTCTTTCTGATTGCCACAATAACCCAGTAAAGTAGGTAGGAAATTACTATTAACCGCATTTTTGATGAGAAAAACCAAGTCCTAAGTGCTTTAAATAACCTTTCCTAAGAGATGCAAATAGGCAAGAGTGTCAGAGCTGGCACCCAACCCATCTGTCCTTTGCCTTGGTTTTTTTGGCTTTTCCACTTTAATTCTTCCAGGTTCAATTAGAAATATAACAAAGGGGATTCATAAGGTTAGTTTGGGGTGGTAGAACTAGGCCTTCCAAGAGCATGAAGAAGGATTTTATATCCTTTTAAGTTCCATGAGCAGCAGAAAGTATGAACAAACACTTCTGTAAGCGGAGTGGCAAGACTCTCGGGAGAAGGCTATCATGCTTTTAAATGTGAGCAGACTAACGAGTGGAACCCAAAAAGCCTTTCTTCCTCCATATCCTAGAATCCAGTTCTGTGTTCTCCAAAGCAACATGCTTCCTTCCATGCTCGGTGAAAGACCACCCACTGACGGGAGGGTTCTGTGGCCTTACCAACACAGCTCAGCCAACGTTCTGAAAGTCTACTACTTCCCAGAGAGAAAAAGCAATTTCATAGCTGAGAAACCCTGGGTACCACCTTAATCCAGATCAAAGTTAGTATCACCAGTAATCAAACAAACTGACATCATGGCTTCCTGACATGAGGCCTTGAGAAGGACCCAACA